CACACACACACACGTATACAGTAGTCCCTAGTTAATCGCAGGGGATTTGTACCCTGAAGACCCGCGATAAGAGAAAAACCGATAAATAGGAATAGTAGTACAAGTAGTAAGTTGTTTATTTTAGTATTTATATATGTATATAAAAGTGTTTTAAACCCTTCCCACACTCTTGCAATATTCTAACTCTAAAGCTCTAAAAGACACAATGTCATGATCTCAGCTCCCTGCCTCCTCTGCTCTTTTCCACCTGCAAGTGCTCTTGGCCACGCCCACCCCTCTGCTCTGCAGCTGAACAGCTGATCAGCTTTTTTTTGTTTGTTTGGTTTCTCTGAACCCATCCAGAGGACCAGACTTAACTTTTTAGATTTTTCTACCTGGATTATTGAGCATGCATCAGGATATCTGATCAGCTAACTGCAGCAGGAAGTTTATCCCTGCAGTATGAGCTGCACAGATGTGCAGGAGGTGCTAAATAATTTTAAATAATTTATTTCAAATAAAAATATCATGCTTAATCAGCCAATTGTGTGTCATGTCCAATCTTATGGAGTGAATCCATGATAAACAAACTGCAAAGTTAAGTTGCAGGTATATCTAAAAAATATTAGAGTACAGTATTGTGAAAAAGTCCCTTCAGGAAGTAAAACTCATTTATTACATAGATTTTTTACACATACAGTGAAATATTTCAAGACTTAAGTTCTTGTAATTTTGTTAATTCTGGTTTACAGATAATGAAAAAACTGAACTGTCTCAGAAAATAAGAATATTGTGATAAAGTTCCATGTTAGAAACTTCTGCACGAGCTACAAATGTTGCATTCCTACACTCAAGCCACTCCTGAACCAGAGACTATGTCAGAAGCGTCTTACCTGCTGAGGACTTCAGAAAACACAGTGGACCAGCACCAGAAGAGAACATGGACCCAAACCATCACTGACTGTGGAAACTTCACTCTGGACTTGAACAACGTGGACTCCAGACTCTGGGATCTTGACTTACAAATGACGTGTAAATTCACTTTAATCTGAAAAGAGGACGTTGGACCTCTGAGAGACAGTCCAGTTCTTTGTCTCCTCAGCAGGTAAGACACTTCTGACGTCTCTGGTTCAGGAGCGGCTGGACTTGAGGAACGAGACATTTTGTAGCTCATGTGTAGAACATGTCTGTGCATACAGCAACATAACGTTTCCAATGCAACTTTATCACAGTACTCACATTTTATGAGACACTGAGTTTTGTTTTTTCATTGTGTGTAAACTATAATCAGCAAAACTACAAGAAATAAAGGCTTGAAATATTTTATTGTATGTGTAATAAATCTATGTACTCTAACATAGGAGTTTCACTTTGTGACGTAGCTAACTAAAGAAATCACGTTTTTATGAGATGTTCCTGTTTGTGTGTAAGCGTGTATATATTTATATAGATTTATGGATGGATGGATGGATGGATGGATGCATGGATGGATGGATGCATGGATGGATGGATGAACAGCTGAAATAATGATAGTATTCAGAGTTAGTCCAAAATAGACTTAAATAAACCACAGCTAGACAAACAACAGAGTAAATGCTGACTTGTAACAGCTGAGCGTACAGTAGCCTACAGGACAGAAGGACCTGGACCAGGTCTTGTTTTGTGGACCTAACAGTGATGTTTGGACACCAGCTAAAAGCTACTTTGAGCTAAAAGTGGTGATATTCTTGTGGCTTCTACAGTAAAAGTTTGGGAAGCGATGTCCTAGTAGAAAATTCAGACATCCTCTCTCTTTGTACCATATCCAGGGAGCATAAGACAAAAGTGGTAGATTTCAGGGGGCCTCAGGTGGTTCCCCCAGCCCCCGCTGTGTCTCACCGCCTCTGGCCGCCGCAGGTCACGCCACGCTCGGGGCGCTGCGGACCGTCTTGTGTCCGGGCATCTGCACCACGAGCAGCTGCTGCTTCTGGCGCGTGGACTTGACGGCCAGGATCGCCTGTCGGTTCTTGTACTGGACCATCTGCAGGGTGATCTCCGCGTTCCAGCCCTCGTCCTGCGGGCACCTGAAGTCGATCTCCTTGCCCTCCGTCATCACCACCGTGAAGTACACGTACTTGCCCTTCCGCTCCACGCAGTCCACGGTCTTCATGTTGGCGAAGTGCAGCTCCTTGACTTTGCCCGCGTCCCCCCCGCCGCCATGCTGCTGCTGCTGCTGCTGGTCGTGCTGCTTGGGCGGCAGCAGCTGCACGCCGTCCTCCGTGAGGACGCAGCGCTTCTTCTTCCAGAGCTGCAGCAGCCCGTCGCTCCTCTTCTCCAGCAGACCCTCCTTCAGCACCTTCCTCCCGTCCTCCAGCATGGTCTGCCGCCGCTGAGAGCTCCGCCGAACGGACTGACGCGTCTGAGAGCCCCGCAGGAGCAGCGTGGAGGATTAATGCGTGGCTGCCAGCGTCTGGAGGAGAGCCCCGCCCCCCTGAAACAACCCTCACACGGTGGCCGGCCAGACACGCCTATTTTCCGATAGTCCAATCAGATGTGGCCCCTGGATACGCCTCGTCCAATCAGATGTGGCCCCTCAGATACGCCTTCCGATTTGTCTGCAGAGTCACCTACTTGGTGCCTTCAGGAACATTAGGATTAAACAGCTTCAGAATGTTGTCCTGGCTGTAACATCTGTACTTTCAGCTGTTTGACCCGTTCTGTAAAAAAAGACAAGTCTGTCTGCTCCTTCAAAAGCATCTTTGAAAATCTTCTTTAGCATACTGT